CAGTAGATGCACCACCAGCTGTAACCCCCTACTGTGCCAGGCTAGGTGCAGGAGGTCATGGGGCAGACCCAGCAGGTGCCGTGGGTTGGCCGACTGAGATGACCGGTAGATGCACCACCAGCTGTACCCCCCCTACTGTGCCAGGCTAGGTGCAGGTCACGGGACAGACCCAGCAGGTGCCATGGGTTGCCTGACTGAGATGACGGGTAGAGACGCATCACCACCTCTACCCCCTACTATGCCAACTTGCTGTGTTTTAGCCTCCCGGCGCTCCGCTCATTGTTGTGAGCGTCGCTCCTCTGCCCTCCGTTGTTGCTGGAGGGCGACTGCCCATCAACAGCAGCAGTGTCCTTCACGAGCCTCCTCCAAAGACAAAGACACATATCCCCAATATAGCCTTAACGGACTATCAGGGGCAAGTGCTGTTTGGTGGGGGCTGGGGATGGGGGGGGGCTGGGGGGGGCGAGCGAGCGAGCGGGAGATCCGCACAGAGACTGGCGGGTACGAGAGCGGAGGGATCTTATATTCTTGGTTCTTTCGGTAAAGTCACGTAGATGAGCGGAGTGATGTCACGGACACGGCTGGACACGTGTCTACCCGCACAGCCGCCCGCCCCTTAACCCCATGATGGGGAGGAGGGCGAGTCGCTGGCCGTCGCGGCGGAGACTCTGGTCGCGCCGTGGCCTGCTTCTGCGGCCGTCTGGAATGCTCTCTCTCTTGCCTTTCCGATTCCAGTGCAAAGACGACTTGACAACACTTGTCTCGAGATGGTTTCGTTATTGAAGGCACGTTCAATCGACATCAGGCGGAGGACCCCACCGCAACAGCCCCGAGTCTCCCGCGCATCTCCCACTTATATACGGACCGAGGCCATGCCCCCCCTCCCCTTCCCGAACCTTCCCGCCGATTTTGCACACTCGCTCCGCCGGCAGACTCCACCTGTCATTACCTCCCGTGGCCGCTAGTCCCTTCGCACTGTGGGCTGACTCCCCCTGTCATTACCTCCCATGGCCACCAGTCCCTTCGCACTGTGGGCTGACTCCCCTGTCACTACCTCCCGTGGCAACCAGTCCCTTCACACTGTGGGCTGACTCCCCTGTCATTACCTCCCATGGCCACCAGTCCCTTCGCACTGGATAAACACCACCAATCACTCCATGTTGTAATGCAGTCAACAAACTTTATTTGGATTGTTCCACACCACCCCATGAATCCACTTCACCGTCTGTCGCCACCTTCGCGTCCGACAGAACAGTTTTGGGGGGCCACGGCAATCGGGGGGGACAGCCACCCGGGCTGACAGCTCTCCCTCCTACAAAAAACAAAATCTTCACTCGCGACATCTTTAGGACGTGACAGCCGCCATCGTCGCCGACGACCGAGAATGAGAATGAGCGGCCTGTGAAGAAGAGTGGCGATGTGATGCGGCCACTGGAACATTGAACTCAACACGGCGTATGTCTACTAGCGTGTGTCTACGTGTGTCTACGTGTGTCTGTGTCTACGTGTGTCTACATGTGTCTGTGTCTACGTGTGTCTGTGTCTACGTGTGTCTACGTGTCTGTGTGTCTACGTGTGTCTACGTGTGTCTGTGTCTACGTGTGTCTGTGTCTACGTGTGTCTACGTGTGTCTGTGTCTACGTGTGTCTGTGTCTACGTGTGTCTACGTGTCTGTGTGTCTACGTGTGTCTACGTGTGTCTGTGTCTACGTGTGTCTGTGTCTACGTGTGTCTACGTGTGTCTACGTGTGTCTGTGTGTGTCTACGTGTGTCTGTGTCTACGTGTGTCTACGTGTGTCTGTGTCTACGTGTGTCTGTGTCTACGTGTGTCTACGTGTCTGTGTGTCTACGTGTGTCTACGTGTGTCTGTGTCTACGTGTGTCTACGTGTGTCTACTAGCGTGTGTCTACGTGTGTCTGTGTCTACGTGTGTCTACGTGTGTCTACGTGTGTCTACGTGTGTCTACGTGTGTCTGTGTGTCTACGTGTGTCTGTGTCTGTGTGTGTCTACGTGTGTCTGTGTCTACGTGTGTCTACGTGTGCCTGTGTCTACGTGTATCTACATGTGTCTACGTGTGTCTGTGTCTACGTGTGTCTACGTGTGTCTGTGTCTACGTGTGTCTGTGTCTACGTGTGTCTGTGTCTACGTGTGTCTACGTGTCTGTGTGTCTACGTGTGTCTACGTGTGTCTGTGTCTACGTGTGTCTGTGTGTCTACGTGTGTCTGTGTGTCTACGTGTGTCTGTGTCTACGTGTGTCTACGTGTGTCTACGTGTGTCTGTGTCTACGTGTGTCTACATGTGTCTACGTGTGTCTGTGTCTACATGTGTCTACATGTGTCTGTGTCTACGTGTGTCTGTGTCTACGTGTGTCTACGTGTGTCTGTGTCTACGTGTGTCTGTGTCTACGTGTGTCTACGTGTGTCTGTGTCTATGTGTGTCTACGTGTGTCTGTGTGTCTACGTGTGTCTGTGTCTACGTGTGCGTGTGTCTATGTGTGTCTGTGTCTGTGTGTCTGTGTGTCTACCGCGTGTGCCGTGAGCACCGCGGCGCTAGTTGGAGGCGGCGTCTCTGTGGCGAAGCTGCTCTTCGGGGCGGCTCCTGCGGCTGCACTTGCTGGGGGGCTCCTCCTGGCTGCAGCCCTGGGGAGGGACGGGGGGGCCACGCACGACGATCAGTGAGAGAACCACAGACTCACCACAGAGACCCACAGACTCACCACAGAGACCCACAGACTCACCACAGAGACCCACAGACTCACCACACAGAGACGCACAGACTCACCACACAGAGACCCACAGACTCACCACACAGAGACCCATAGACTCACCACACAGAGACCCACAGACTCACCACACAGAGACGCACAGACTCACCACACAGAGACCCACAGACTCACCACACAGAGACCCATAGACTCACCACACAGAGACCCACAGACTCACCACACAGAGACGCACAGACTCACCACACAGAGACCCACAGACTCACCACACAGAGACCCATAGACTCACCACACAGAGACCCACAGACTCACCACACAGAGACGCACAGACTCACCACACAGAGACCCACAGACTCACCACACAGAGACCCATAGACTCACCACACAGAGACCCATAGACTCACCACACAGAGACGCACAGACTCACCACACAGAGACCCATAGACTCACCACACAGAGACCCACAGACTCACCACACAGAGACCCACAGACTCACCACACAGAGACCTACAGACTCGCCACACAGAGACCCACAGACTCACCACACAGAGACCCACAGACTCGCCACACAGAGACCCACAGACTCACCACACAGAAACCCATAGACTCACCACACAGAGACCCACAGACTCACCACACAGAGACCCACAGACTCACCACACAGAGACGCACAGACTCACCACACAGAGACCCATAGACTCACCACACAGAGACCCACAGACTCACCACACATAGACGCACAGACTCACCACACAGAGACCCATAGACTCACCACACAGAGACCCACAGACTCGCCACACAGAGACCCACAGACTCGCCACACAGAGACCCACAGACTCACCACACAGAGACCCATAGACTCACCACACAGAGACCCACAGACTCACCACACAGAGACCCATAGACTCACCACACAGAGACCCACAGACTCACCACACAGAGACCCACAGACTCACCACACATAGACGCACAGACTCACCACACAGAGACCCATAGACTCACCACACAGAGACGCACAGACTCACCACACAGAGACCCATAGACTCACCACACAAAGACCCACAGACTCACCACACAGAGACCCATAGACTCACCACACAGAGACCCACAGACTCACCACACAGAGACCCACAGACTCGCCACACAGAGACGCACAGACTCGCCACACAGAGACCCACAGACTCACCACACAGAGACCCATAGACTCACCACACAGAGACCCACAGACTCACCACACAGAGACCCACAGACTCACCACAGAGACCCACAGACTCGCCACACAGAGACCCACAGACTCACCACACAGAGACCCATAGACTCACCACACAAAGACCCACAGACTCACCACACAGAGACCCACAGACTCACCACACAGAGACGCACAGACTCACCACACAGAGACGCACAGACTCACCACACAGAGACCCATAGACTCACCACACAGAGACCCATAGACTCATCACACAGAGACCCACAGACTCGCCACACAGAGACTCACAAACTCATCACACAGAAACCCACAGACTCACCACACAGAGACCCACACAGAGACCCATAGACTCACCACACAGAGACGCACAGACTCCATCACACAGAGACCCACAGACTAACCAAACAGCGACCCACAGACTCACCACACAGAGACCCACAAACTCACCACAGAGACACACACGTACACACAAACACACATCCACATGCGCGTACACACACACGCACACACGCACGCACCACGCATGGGGACGGTGCGCTCACCAGCTCAGCCGGCAGTGGAGTGAACTTCCCACTGCTGCTGCTGCTGCTGCCTCTGCTGCTGCTACTGCTGCTGCCGCTGCTGCCGCTGCTGCTGCCGCTGCTGATGGCACTGCTGATGATGCTGCTGTTGATGCTGCTACTGCCGCTGCTGCTGCCGCTGCCGCTGCTGATGGCGCTGTTGATGATGCTGCTGTTGATGCTGCTACTGCCGCTGGTGCTGCCGCTGCTGCTGCCGCTGCTGCTGCTGCTGCTGATGCCGCTGCTGCTGCTGCTGCCACTGCTGATGGCACTGCTGATGGCACTGCTGCTGCTGCTGCCGCTGCCGCTGCTGCTGCTACTGCTGCTGCCGCTGCCGCTGCTGCTGCCGCTGCTGATGCCGCTGCTGCTGCCGCTGCTGCTGTTGTTGTTGCTGCTGCTGCTGCTGCTGCCGCTGCCGCTGCTGTTGGCGCAGGTCGCGGTGCCGGCATGGAGCCGGGGCGCTAGCGGCGACACCGCCGCCGAGGGGCACAGCCGCGCCACCACGGCGCTCACGTTGTCGGCCGGGCGGCCGAGCCGGTGCCAGCGAGACAGCGCCTCGGCCACCAGCAGCTGCGCCGGCGTGAGGCCTCCAGCACCGCTGATGCTGCTGCTAGCACCACGACCACTGCTAGCACCACCACTGCTGGCACCACCGCTGCTAGCACCACCACTGCTAGCACCACCACCGCTAGCACCACCACCGCTGCTGGCACCACCACCGCTGGCCTGCAGGACGAGACGTGTGTGTGTGTGTATACGTGAGTGTATGTGTACGTGAGAGTGTGTGTGTGTACGTGAGTGTGTGTGTGTGTACGTGAGTGTGTGTGTATACGTGAGTGTGTGTGTGTACGTGAGTGTGTGTGTGTGTGTACGTGAGTGTGTGTGTATACGTGAGTGTGTGTGTGTACGTGAGTGTGTGTGTACGTGAGTGTGTGTGTGTGTACGTGAGTGTGTGTGTGTACGTGAGTGTGTGTGTGTACGTGAGTGTGTGTGTGTACGTGAGTGTGTGTGTGTACGTGAGTGTGTGTGTGTACGTGAGTGTGTGTGTGTACGTGAGTGTGTGTGTGTACGTGAGTGTGTGTGTGTACGTGAGTGTGTGTGTGTACGTGAGTGTGTGTGTGTACGTGAGTGTGTGTGTGTACGTGTGTGTGTGTGTGTACGTGAGTGTGTGTGTGTACGTGAGTGTGTGTGTGTACGTGACTATAGCGTGTGTGCATATAGACGTGTGTGTATGTAGATGTGTGTATGTAGATGTGTGTGTGTGTAGATGTGTGTGTATGTTGATGTGTGATTGTCGATGTATGTTGATGTGTGTGTGTGTAGATGTGTGTGTGTATGTTGATGTGTGTGTGTAGATGTGTGTGTGTGTAGATGTGTGTGTGTATGTTGATGTGTGTGTGTAGATGTGTGTGTGTAGATGTGTGTGTGTAGATGTGTGTGTGTATGTTGATGTGTGTGTGTAGACGTGTGTGTGTGTGTGTATGTAGACGTGTGTATGTTGATGTATGTATACGTGTGTGTGTGTATGTAGATGTGTGTATAGAGTATGTAGATGTGTGTGTGTATGTAGACGTGTGTGTGTATGTTGATGTGTGTATACGTGTGTGTGTGTATGTAGATGTGTGTGTGTATAGTGTATGTATACGTGTGTGTATGTAGACGTGTGTATGTTGATGTATGTATACGTGTGTGTGTATGTAGATGTGTGTGTGTATAGAGTATGTAGATGTGTGTGTGTATGTAGACGTGTGTGTGTATGTTGATGTATGTATACGTGTGTGTGTGTATGTAGATGTGTGTGTGTAGATGTGTGTGTGTATGTTGATGTGTGTGTGTAGACGTGTGTGTGTGTGTATGTAGACGTGTGTATGTTGATGTGTGTATGTTGATGTGTGTATACGTGTGTGTGTGTATGTAGATGTGTGTGTGTATAGAGTATGTAGATGTGTGTGTATGTAGACGTGTGTGTGTATATTGATGTGTGTGTGTAGATGTGTGTATGTAGATGTGTGTGTGTGTATAGTGTATGTAGATGTGTGTGTGTGTATGTAGATGTGTGTATGTAGATGTGTGTATGTAGACGTGTGTGTGTGTATGTTGATGTGTGTATACGTGTGTGTGTGTATGTAGATGTGTGTGTGTATAGTGTATGTAGATGTGTGTGTGTGTGTAGACGTGTGTGTGTATGTAGATGTGTGTGTATAGTGTATGTATATGTGTGTGTGTATGTAGATGTGTGTATGTAGACGTGTGTGTGTGTCGACGTGTGTGTGTGTAGACGTGTGTGTGTATGTTGATGTATGTATACGTGTGTGTGTGTATGTAGATGTGTGTGTATAGTATGTGTAGACGTGTGTGTGTATAGTGTATGTAGACGTGTGTGTGTAGACGTAGGTGTGTGTATAGTGTATGTAGACGTGTGTGTGTAGACGTGTGTATGTGTGTGTCGACCTGCTCGTCAGCTCGTTGGCAGAGCCGCACGGCCTCCGTGGGCATGAGGACGTCCCAGACGCCGTCGGTGGCCAGCACGAGGTGGCGGTGGCGCTGCGGCTCCAGCCGGTAGGCGCTCACGTCCGGCTCGGGGGACACCACGAACTGGCACCTCGCTGCCTCGTAGCTCCAGAGGTCCCCTGTGCACACACACACGTGTACGCACACACACACATGTACACACAGACATGTACACACACACGTGTACACACACACATGTACACACACCACAAACTGGCGCCTCGCAGCCTCGTAGCTCCAGAGGCCCCTGTGGGATATCGCCAACACACACACACATGTACACACACACACACACATGTACACACACACACACATGTACACACACACACGTAAACATTTAGGCTGGCCTGCCTACGATCCATCTTGGGTTTAACAAGGCTGGATTGTGTTAGAAGCTCACAAATCCTTGAAAGATCTGGGCAAAGTCCCATCGGTGAGCTCCTCCGGCAGGCAAGGCTGCGTTGGGCTAGAGAAGAGATGGAGTGATGTGGTACAGGAGGACGTGGAGCTGAGTGGACTTGCCGATGACCGGTACCAGCGGTGTCAAGATCGGCCTCTGTGGAGCAGGCTCGTGAAGGACGCTACTGGGCAGTTGGAGGCAGTCGCCCTCCAACAACAACGGAGGACGGAGGAGCGACGCGCACAACAACGAGCGGAGCGCCGGGTGGCTAAAGCACAGCAAGTTGGTTCAGTAGGGGGCACAGGTGGTGCATCAGCCAGTCATCTCGGTCATCTCGGTCAGTCGACCCGTGGCACCTGGGTCTGTCCCGTGACCTCCTGCCAGCGGGCGTTCGACACTTCACGTGGCCTCAAGGTGCACTTGGCCTGGCACAAGCGTCGTGGTGACGTCACCGCCACTTAGTGGCGAATGGCGGTTGTTGTTGTTGTTGTGTAGGTGTGTGTGTAGGTGTGTGTGTAGGTATGTGTAGGCGTGTGTGTGTAAGTGTGTGTAGGTGTAGGTGTGTGTGTAAGTGTGTGTGTAGGTGTGTGTGTAGGTGTGTGTGTGTAGGTGTGTGTGTGTAAGTGTGTAGGTGTGTAGGTGTAAGTGTGTGTGTGTGTGTAGGTGTGTGTGTGTAGGTGGGGAGCGGTAGTGTAGCGGTTAGCGCGCTGCGCTATGAACTTGGCGACCCGGGTTCGATTCCCGCTCACGGCTAACACCAGTGACGATTATCTGAACCGGTCCTGGGCCTCCCCTAGGTCGACTCAGCCTTAAATGAGTACCTGGTGCGGTGTGTAAACATCGCCACTAGGGAGACAAAGGCGGTCGGGCGTGGTGCTGGCCACCCACCCCCTCGTGTACCGTTCCGGCCTTCATAGGTGCTCGCTAACAGCACTTGCCCCTACAGTCTGTTCAGGCTATACGGGGAATCTTTGTCTTTTGTGTAGGTGTGTGTGTGTAGGTGTGTGTGTAGGTGTAAGTGTGTAGGTGTGTAGGTGTAAGTGTGTGTGTGTGTAGGTGTGTTTAGGTGTGTGTGTAAGTGTGTGTGTGTAGGTGTGTGTGTGTAGGTGTGTGTGTGTAAGTGTGTGTAGGTGTGTGTGTGTAAGTGTGTGTGTGTAGGTGTGTGTGTAGGTGTGTGTGTAGGTGTGTATGTTGATGTGTGTGTGTAGGTGTGTGTGTAGGTGTGTATGTTGATGTGTGTGTGTAGGTGTGTGTGTGTAGGTGTGTGTGTGTAAGTGTGTAGGTGTGTAGGTGTAAGTGTGTGTGTGTGTAGGTGTGTGTAGGTGTGTGTGTGTAGGTGTGTGTGTAGGTGTGTGTGTAAGTGTGTGTGTGTGTAGGTGTGTGTGTGTAGGTGTGTATGTAAGTGTGTGTGTGTAGGTGTGTGTAGGTGTGTAGGTGTGTGTGTGTGTAAGTGTGTAGGTGTGTGTGTGTGTAGGTGTGTGTGTGTAGGTGTGTATGTAAGTGTGTGTGTGTAGGTGTGTGTAGGTGTGTAGGTGTGTGTGTGTGTAAGTGTGTAGGTGTGTGTGTGTGTAGGTGTGTGTGTGTGTGTGAGTACCGAGGGAGCGTGACACGGCCAGGCATGGGATGTACTCCGTGTTGGCGCTCTGCTGCTCAGCGCCGCCGTGAGCCACTCGCCTCCTCCTCCAGGCCACACGGCAAGGCCCCCCTGGCTTACTCATCACCCTGGCGGGCAGACACACAAAGACAAAGATCCCCCGTGTAGCCTTAACAGACTGTAGGGGCAAGTGCTGTTAGCGAGCACCTATGAAGGCCGGAACGGCACACGAGGGGGTGGGTGGCCAGCACCACGCCTGGCCGCCTTTGTCTCCCTAGTGGCGATGTTTACACACCGCACCGGGTAGTTGTTTGAGGCTGGGTCGACCTAGGGGAGGCCCTGGACCGGTTCAGATAATCGTCACCGGTGTTGGCCGTGAGCAGGAATCGAACCCGTGTCGCCGGGTTCATAGCGCAGCGTAGCGCTAACCGCTACACTGCCGTGCCCCATACACACACACATACACGCACACACACATACACGCACATACACGCACACACATATACGCACACACATACACACACACATACCCATACACGCACACACACACACACGCACACACACACACGCACATATACGCACACACATACACACACACACACGCACACACACATACACGTACACATACACACACACACATACACACACATACACCCACACACACACACCACACACACACCACACACACCACACACACACCACACACACACACACACACACCACACACACACACCACACACACACACCACACACACCACACACCACACACACACACCACACACACACACCACACCACACACCACACACACACACCACACACCACACACACACACACCCACACACACACCACACACACACCACACACACACACCACACACACACACACACACCACACACACACCACACACACACACACCACACACACACACCACACACACACACACACACCACACACCACACACACACACACACCACACACACCACACACACACACACACACCACACACACACACACCCACACACACACACCACCACACACACACCACACACACCACACACACACACACACACACACACCACACACACCACACCACACACACACACACACACACAACACACACACACCACACACCACACACACCACACACACACACACACCACACACACACCACACACACACCACACACACACACCACACACACACACACACCACCACACACACCACACACACACCACACACACCACACACACACACCACACACACACCACACACACACACCACACACACACACCACACACACACACACACACCACACACACCCACACACACACACACACACCACACACACACACACCACACACACACACACACACCACACACACACACACACACACCACACACACACACACACCACAACACACACCACACACACCACACACACACACACACACACACCACACACACCACACACACACACCACCACACACACACCACACACACCACACACACACACACCACCACACACACACACCACACACACCACCACACACACACCACACACACACCACACACACACACCACACACACCACACACACACACCACACACACACACCACACACACACACCACACACACACACCACACACACCACACACACACACCACACACACCACGCACACACACACACCACACACACACACACACACACACACACCACACACACCACACACACACACCACACACACACACACCACACACACACACCACACACACCACACGTCTCACCGCCCGCCCAGCCTCTCAATGCGATCCCTCTCCACGGGGTCGCCCGGCTTGTGGTCGCGCGTCAACCCCACGGCAAGTAGCGACACCTCCTCCTCCTCCTCCAGCTCGTCCGTGTCCACCTCCTCCTCGTCCACCTCCTCCTCCACCACCTCGTCCTTGTCCACCTCCCGCCGGGGCAGTGGTGGTGGTGGCGGTGGTGGTGGCGGTGGCGGTGATGGTTGTGGTGGTTGTGGCGGTTGTGGTGATGGCGTTGACAGTGGTGGTTGTGGTGGTGGCGGTGGTGGTGGTGGCGGTGACAGTGGCGGTTGTGGTTGTGGTGGTGGCGGTGGTGGCGTTGACAGTGGTGGTTGTGGTGGTGGCGGTGGTGGTGGTGGCGGTGACAGTGGCGGTTGTGGTTGTGGTGGTGGTGGCGTTGACAGTGGTGGTTGTGGTGGTGGCGGTGGTGGTGGTGGCGGTGACAGTGGCGGTTGTGGTTGTGGTGGTGGCGTTGACAGTGGTGGTTGTGGTGGTGGTGGTGGTGGCGGTGACAGTGGCGGTTGTGGTTGTGGTGGTGGCGTTGACAGTGATGGTTGTGGTTGTGGTGGTGGCGGTGGTGTTTGTGGTGGTGGCGTTGACAGTGATGGTTGTGGTTGTGGTGGTGGCGGTGGTGTTTGTGGTGGTGGCGTTGACAGTGATGGTTGTAGTTGTGGTGGTGGCGGTGGTGTTTGTGGTGGTGGCGGTGGTGTTAGCGGTGTTGCCAGGTTACGGCCGACGGCCGCTATGAAGGCCTTCGCGACGCGTCCGTGCATAGACGTGGGGCCGTACCAGGCTAGGTGCGCCTTCACAGAGCGGACCTTGACACAGGGGCCCTTTGAAGGGGGACCCATTGAAGGGGGGCCCATTGAAGGGGGGCCCATTGAAGGGGGGCCCATTGAAGGGGGGCCCATTGAAGGGGGGCCCTTTGAAGGGGGGCCCGTTGAAGGGGGACCCGTTGAAGGGGGGCCCGTTGAAGGGGGGCCCGTTGAAGGGGGGCCCTTTGAAGGGGGGCCCATTGAAGGGGGACCCATTGAAGGGGGACCCATTGAAGGGGGGCCCGTTGAAGGGGGGCCCGTTGAAGGGGGGCCCGTTGAAGAGGGGCCCTTTGAAGGGGGGCCCGTTGAAGGGGGGCCCGTTGAAGGGGGGCCCGTTGAAGGGGGGCCCATTGAAGGGGGACCCATTGAAGGGGGGCCCATTGAAGGGGGACCCATTGAAGGGGGACCCATTGAAGGGGGGCCCTTTGCAGAAGAGGGGCCCATTGTGAAAATGGGTCTCAATGAAGAAGGGGTCCTGGTGGCGGTGGCGGTGGCGCTGCGCCCCCCGTGTGGCCGCTGAGCGAGGACGGCTCGCGAGTCTCCCACGTGAGCCACGAACAGCAGGTCGCCCATCAGCAGGCAGCAGCACGCCGTGGTGCCCGCCATGCTGGGCTCGCCCTGCCACGTGCGCCGCCAGCTGCCTGTAGGAGCACGGAGGGGCGGAGGGGGTTAGACAGGGGTGTGGGTGGGTGGGTGAGTGGGTGAGTGGGTGAGTGGGTGGGTGAGTGGGTGGTTGAGTGGGTGGGTGGGTGAGTGGGTGGGTGGGTGGGTGAGTGGGTGGGTGGGTGGGTGAGTGGGTGGGTGGGTGGGTGAGTGGGTGGGTGGGTGGGTGAGTGGGTGGGTGAGTGGGTGGGTGAGTGGGTGAGTGGATGGGTGGGTGACTGTGTGAGTGAGTGACTGTGAGTGACTGTGTGAGTGGGTGGGTGACTGTGTGAGTGGGTGGGTGAGTGAGTGGGTAGGTGAGTGGGTGGGTGAGTGGGTGGGTGACTGTGTGAGTGAGTGACTGTGTGAGTGAATGACTGTGTGAGTGGGTGGGTGAGTGTGTGAATGGGTGAGTGAGTGACTGTGTGAGTGAGTGACTGTGTGAGTGGGTGGGTGAGTGTGTGAGTGGGTGAGTGAGTGGGTGGGTGAGTGTACGACTGTGTGAGTGAGTGACTGTGTGAGTGAGTGACTGTATAGTGTAGTGTATAGTAGTGTATAGTAGTGTAACGGGTTCCGGAGACACTTGTAGAGGTAACTTCTTTATTACAATACAACACTCCAACAGTCCTGATACTCTGCTACAGCTTAGGTACACAGCCTAGCTACACTGCCTAGATACTCTACTCTGGCTACGCTCCGGAACT